GTTGGTAATTTTCACGCGTCGCTTGGTGTCATAACGGTTTAGGATGCGATACTTGAAAAACAGACAGGATATCTGTCGACGCGTAAAGACCTGATTATAGAGAATGGAAATATCAAAACAAAGACCTAAAAGTAAAACATGAAAACACTCAGTATCCACTGTCAATTCAATATATATATATATATATATATATATATATATATATATATATATATATATATATATATATATATATATATATATATATATACTGTGGACTCTCCGTCGTATTCGATGTATGAGGGTCAGGTAGCTCATTTCCTAGGAACCGACAGGCAGACACCAGCATATGTGATTTGATTATAGTTGTGAAGGTGTTGTGCAGAATCAACGACACTTCTTGAAGGGCCGAATGCAGAGACCTAGTGCACTACACCGCATTTGATATATATATATACATACATATATATATATATATATATATATATATATATATATATATATATATATATATTGTCTTGAACAGTAAAAAAAAAAAAAAATGTTAAAGGATTTAAATTTTCGACACACAAGTTTGGATATTAATATTTTTGTTTTATTTAAATTATGTTACCCGACACGTTTTGGCCCACATGGCCATCCTAAGGAGAAAAATAATTCAGGCTACTCAATAGTGAATGGATGCATGTCTATTTCTGAAAAAAATGTGAATTTTTCCAGTAGTTTTGTTTTTAAATCATTAAATTTTTCAGTCTTTGAATTAGTGAAAAGGCCTCTACCAAGTTCTTTTAAGGAGAGACGAGGAGTTTCATCAGTATTAAATTTACCTCCTTAATTATTCATTTTTATATATATATATATATATATATATATATATATATCTGTGTGTGTGTGTGTGTGTGCGTGTGTGTGTTGAGGCAGCAATTCTTCTTTCATGCACATTTCATTGAAAACGACAAGGTGCTATAGTTTTTTTTTATACAATTTCTCATGCGATCTAATATTTATTTTCTTTTCAGATGATAAATTATATAAAAACTGTCCGAATTTTCTTTTTATCCTAGAGCTTTCGGTTATACATTTAGCCATTTTCAAAGATTATATTTTAACTGTCAAAATAAGAAATACTTTGTTATATGTATGTTTTATAAAATGTTTTCATTTTTCAAAAAACGGTCAAGATATTGTGTCCATGTTCAATTTTATTTTTAAGGTATGATGTATTTAAGTATAAACTTGCACAATGTCAGAGATATTAAAAAAAAAGTGACAGCCTGATTCATGCATGCCATCAATGTTCAGGCCATTCCTCTGTGTTCAATTTTATATTTACATACGCTTTATCTCTGATATTGACATATTTATTCATACATTTCGCATACGTTAAAACGGGACATTTATCATAGTTAGCTTCTAATATATAGTTGAGATTACTCGCTATATATAATAGCTGGCGACTCGTATTCGAGGATACCCGTCTCCTAGGACATCAATTTAGTCCCTATTGCAGTGGCTCGATCAGGCACATTCGTGTTTGCTCAATATAAACAAAGCCCACCTGTGGTTTATACTGCTACAATGCTAATGTCTGCTCATCATAGTTTCAGTTTCTGGGAGAGATCGTGTGATCTAGCCTGATCCACAATTTGAACAAGGTCTGAACGATCAAGCCCTCGGCCACGATGACTTGTGGTTTCATATTTGCACGGCTATCGACGGCACGCAAGGATTCCGTGTAGGTAATTTCACTTACAAGGTTTTAGGTCAAATCATGGTATGAATTTCAAGCACTTTCCAAATGTGCCGCACGCTGGGATTGACCTCGATACAGTCTGATAACATCAGGAATCGCCTTCCTGACTAATCAGCACACACTCAGAATATATATATATATATATATATATATATATGAATCATAAGTATCTATCCCTAAAATGAAGATATGAATCTTACTTATAAAACGCAGATTGTGTGTGTGTGTCTGTAACGTTTATATATTGGATGGATTTCCTACATTTTTCAACCGATTTCAACAAAACTTCACAGGACTACATAAAATTACCTTGCGGTGGTTCTAACAGCGCCAAAAATTGGAAAAACACAATTTTTTTTCCACAAAATCAATTTGAAAACACGATTAAGAGGCATTAATGAAAGGGGAGCAACTCACATCGCGTTAAAAACCAAGGTTGTTAGTGTTTGTGCGTGTGTGTGTGCGTGTGTGTTCGTTTATATAGGGGATCAGATTTCCTACATTTTTCAACCGATTTCAACAAAACTTTACTTTTTTTGACAGGTAGCGTTTCTTATTTTCTTGCACACATTTTTCTTTATTTTTACATTCAGAATGCTTTAAAAATTCCATTTACAAGACAATTGTTTATAATAACATTCTATTCAATAGGGAGACTCATAACGATTAAAAATAATGTTTTTGCTTGAGTTTTGGTTTGACCAATTCGTAAAAAAACAAAAAAAAAAAAACAAAACAAAAAAAACAACTAATTAAGACATGCGTGTCTGTCAACCTTAAACAATAATCTAACGATCTCTACTGATTGTACGAATCCAAACAGGATAATTCTTTATCTTTAGGGAAAGATAATTCCACGTACTTTAGGGCTATTTTTATAATTCCCTTTGCAATTTGATACAAGACATCTATAAGGAAATGGTTCTATTTGAAATTAATTCAATATTTAAAATAAAGTATTAAGAAATAATTTTAAAATGCCGGCGTAAGAAATCTGATAGACAAAAAACAAAAATATTTCAAAGATGATAATTATTAAGGAAAGAACACAGTACTTACCTTAGACTTTTCTGCTAAATTCCTTTTTTTTCTTTTTTTGTTCCTGCAGGTGATTCTTTCACGAGGGGCTTCTGTATGTCTTGCTTAAGGGTTTACGAGAATTTTCGTCGTTTCATCGGCGAACTTCGACTCATAATTGACTTTTTAAACTTCAATAATTGTCCACACGTTGGTGCTTTTCGGGCGCCAAGGTCATCCCCCTTCTCCCCTTACGGACGGCCTCCATACACGCACTAACGCAACAGGATACGCAATATTCGCTAAGATAGAGAGAGAGGGGGGTATTCTCACTCTGTCTTCTTTCACGTAAGTTTTGTGTTGAGGGGGGACGGTCACTATTACCGATCTTTCCCCTACATTAATGACAGCGATTTCCTCTTTCGCTGGCCGATTTTTTTAATAGAGAGTGGAACGTCACCCAAGGTCAACCATCTCTACTGCGTGACTCGGGCGTGCTTTCACAATTTTGCGTTCATTGTTGCCCACGTGCACGTACTTGGCTTACTTTATTCGCCAACTTCGGATACCGCAAGCTGTTAATTACGTGTTCTAGCTGCTTTTTTGTTTTATAGTTAGCCAATTGCACTAAAACCCCATTTCTTTTGGATTTACACTTGGCTTACCTTTTTAAATTTCCACTTTTTAGTTTCGAGTTCCCCTTGAGTAACCTCTGAACTCATTTTACAGGGTGTTTCCCTTTTTGTGTCTACGTTAGCAGTGCACGATTTGTGCGACATCCCCAGCTCGTTCGGGTGTCGCCACTCCAAACGTGACGTCCGCCTGTCTGCGTCAGTCGTGCTATCCCGTCCTGTGACGACCAACTGGCTTGGTATTGGTCGCGTTACCCAAATGTGACGTTCTAACCTTTTGGTGATTTGGAGGGGAATCTGGTTAGGTTCGATATCAGCCTCGTCGTTCCCAACTCGCTTCCAACGTCTGGTTACCGAAGTAACTACTTTGATTTCCAGTCTGCCTACCCACGTTGTGAATTGATGTAGGCAGACGAAATCAATCAGTTGCTGGGGCCGTGATGCAAGCTGAGTTCGAATAAGGGCGATATCGCACAAGTATATGCCAAAGATAATAAAATAATAACTCGAAAAGTCCAAATGTGTTAAAAAGGATAACAATATTTTATATCTGGTTGCTGAATATAGGATTAAGTCTTTCTCCCAAACCGCTATATGGATTCGTGACACGTTGTTTTTGTTACGCGAGTCTTCACATCTTAAATTGTCTGTTTTTAAGAAACTGGTTCTTGATGTGTCTTAAGGCGATATTCGTAAACCTTGTTTTGGTGGTATGAGTCTAAGTCGTTATTCAAAATTAAATTGTTCTTGTTTAGAAGATGAGTCGGAATTGCGTGAATCTTTCAAGCTAATTTGTGGTGGGTCTTCAGAGCTCTCAACTTAAACTCGAAAAAACTGAACTGAACTGGAACTCAACACATTTTCGCTCGCTGCGACTTTGCTTATATGGACGCCGACCCAAACCGGGGTGGGCTCGTCGGGGTTTGAGGTTCCTTGATAATTCTAAATCGACAATCCCCTTCTTTTGTTTTCGGTCAGGAACAATTAATTATTTCCATTTTTGGAAGTCTTCTCTTACTCCAACCTTCTTCTGTTCTCATATGGGCATCTCTCCATACTCTCAGAAGGCGTCAACGGTTTTCCCACTCCTTCGCAGTAACATCTCATACCTATCCCCTCAGTGGTTGGTAGCAGGCCTCCCCCCTGCATCATATGATCACCTCCGCCTGGCTCTCGTTAACATTCATCCAATGGGCGTTCAACAGTGTGGTGTGAACAGACTAGCCTTGTTTTAAAAAATATATATCTTGCTCAAAGAAAAAAAAAATATCTCTTCTTCCTTTTTTTTCTATTGCTTTTCTTACTTTTATTTCTCTCCTTCTCTGGCCGCCAATATAACAATACGACCCGTAGTGTGATAATCTCAATTCTTATCCCAATGTCACTTTCATATGGAATTCGTCAATCAGATTTTCGCCAGCACCAAGTGGCTGGTCAACCAGACATACTCACTCTCCGGCGCCAACCACTGATACGATGAAACGACTTCGCCACTCTCGCCTCTCTTTTGCGTTCTTTTTTTTTCTTTTTTTCCTTGCAGCCCTAAATGGTTTCACAATTTTTGGATTTGTCGAAATCTCTTTTTAAGCTTTACCCTATTTGACGTTTTTACTGTTTGGATGCCACCTAAAAGGAGGAAAGATTTTGGACGGCGCACGGCAGCTGCCTCCGCAGCTAGAGCAGCGAGGGCGAGTGAAACCCCTGAACAGACTTCTTTGCGTCTTTCACGGATGGCCTCGAGCTCAGCTGCTCGCTTATCCACGGAAAGCGCCTCTGCGGCTTCAGGCATGTCCGCACGCCGCGGCAGGCTTTCAGTTGAAGAACGTTCACTTCAGAATTCACAGGGTGCAGTCCGCCTGGCTAGGTAAAGACCTTCACAATCCCCAGCACAGAAAAAACCCTTCGTCGTTTGCGGTATGCCATCGCCAAACTTGCTCCAGGAGTTTAGAAAGCCTGAACAAACGACTTCACGTCGTCATAAGAATACTAGGGCTACAGCCGCCTCTAGAGCTTCGGAACAACCCCAAGAAACCGCTCATCGTCGCTTTAGAAATGCCCTATCCACCGCATCTTCCAGAGCCTTAGAAAGCCCTGCACAAACCACTGTTCGTCGCATTATAAATGCCCGCTCCACTGCATCTGCTAGAGCCTTAGAAAGCCCTGCACAGACCACTGTTCGTTGCGTTAGAAATGCCAGCTCTACTGCATCTGCCAGCTTTGCAGAAAACTCTGAAGTACGCCGTCAACGACTCGAAAAGATTAGCTCATTTCGAGCTTCTTTGAATGCTGTAACTTCGCCGTCTGCATTATTTTGGTCAAATACCGCATACAGTTATGACTGCACTGTCAACTATCCCGCTAGGAGAGACGTACAACTAGGGGCCATGGATAAAGATTTCACTTTTGGCAACGCAAAAAAGTGGGCCGGTGAGCAACCTGGGCCTTGTTGCTCTGGGGGCAAAATCAAACTCCCTTCTTTAGACGAGCCTCCCCAGCCACTTAGGGACCTCCTTCTAGGTACAACTTCGGAGTCAACGCATTTTCTTGAAGCAATACGGAAGTACAACTATAGCTTCCAGATGGCGTCTTTTGGTGGGAAGGCTATTAGTGAAGGGAGATCGATGCCTACTTTCAAAGTGCAAGGCCAGGTTTACCACTTAATGGGGTCACTTTTGGCTGATCAGGGAGAGCCACCTCAGTTCCTACAAATTTACTTTCTCGCAGACTACAACGAGCAACGTCTTGTCATTCTGCATAGCGATTTTTCCGTCGGTCCCCGTAGAGACATTCTGTTCCGTCTACAAGACAAGCTTCACGAAACTAACAGTTACATCTGAGGCTTAAATTTTGCGTTGCAAAACAACTCTTGGCCCTCTTTCGGTGTTGCCATCGATGAAGTCAGTCGTTCAACTCTGAACCGACTGTTCGGTTTAACTCTCTTCCTATGGGCGGAAGGAACCCGAAGGAGGCTACGCCGAAGGGCGGAGTCTCCTTCGGGGGGCTAAAACCGGCCCTTAACCCGTTTATACGGGTTCAAAATGGGCTATTTTTTGGCCGAGCCTAATGGCTCGAGAATGCCCACGTTAAAAAGGCCTTGTGCCGCATGACACCCTCGTGGGGGGGGACTGAATATCGTCATCGATGCAGACAGACGGTCTCACGGTGAGCATGAGCTTCGCTTCAATGCGCCTGCATGTAATGAAGCCGCCGCAGTCATCCACGGTGAGGAGCATAACAGCCGTGACATTGTCATAAAATACCGGGGCGGTGGTCTGCGCCGCATCAGTGAAACCCACCGTTCATACGACTGTCTCCAGTGCCCTCTTCTTTTTCCATACGGAAGCAATGGGTACCACTTCAAAATCCTAATATGCCAAGCAAGCAGCGATTCCATGTCGACCTTAAAGACAGTCTCCTGTAGGTCTTACTACGCCTACATGTTTATGTTTAGGGAGGGTGAATTTAACCACTTGCACAGGTGCCGTAAACTATTTCTTCAATTCGCTGTTAACATGGCTGCAAAAATGGAGTCGGAGAGGTTAGGATTCATCAAGTTAAACCAATCCAAACTTAGAACTGACTCCTACATTCACCTTCGTGATGGTCTGCGTTTTGATGGTGACCCACGCAATCTCGGCAAACCGTGCATTTGGCCTTCCTCTTACACTGGTGGCCCTCGATACATGCATGAAAGGACACAAGACGCAATGAACTATGTCCGTCATTACGGGAGGCCTTATTTGTTCGTCACGCTCACGTGCAAACCGAAATGGGTTGAAATCACACGCGAACTTTTTCCAGGTCAGCAGTACTCACACCGCCCTGACCTAATTGCCCGTGTTTTCCGGTTACAACTGTGTAAGCTTATGGATTTGATTCTTAAATGGCAAATCTTCGGACGCATCAAGTGTCATATGTATACAGTGGAATGGCAGAAACGCAGTTTGCCTCATGTCCACATTCTGCTGTGGGTCAACGATAAGGTTGACGCAAACAAAATAGACGATTTTATTTCTGCTGAAATTTCGGATTCTGTGCTGGTGACTTTGCTCCACGAAATCATTTTAAAAAATATGATACACGCCCCCTGTGGCGCGAATTACGAAAAAAGGTTATGTTGGTCAAGCGGCCCCACTTGCGCAAAGGGTTACCCCCGTAATTTTATCTCAGAAACGCAAACCGCGACGGATGGTTATCCACTGTACAGACGTAGAAGCCCCGCTGAGGGCGACAGAACTGTGACAGATAATGGCCACACTCTGGAAAATATTTGGGTGGTGCCTTATTGCCCGATGCTGTCCAAGACTTTTGGAGCCCACATAAACGTTGAATACTGCCACTCGGTTAAGTCAATAAAGTACATCTGCAAGTACGTCAATAAAGGCAGCGATGCTGCCATCTTCGGTATCCGGCGCGACAATTGCGTTGACGAGGTGGCCGATTGCGTGGCTGGACGCTACCTCAGAAGTAGCGAGGCCTTTTGGCGAATTTTCGGATTCCCCATACACCAAAGGACTCCAGCCATTTTGCAGCTTGCTGTTCACTTAGAAAATGGACAGAGGGTGTACTTCACCGAACAAAACGCCCAGCAGATTGCGGAAAACCCTAAACACACAACCTAACGGCTTTCTTTAAATTATGCTCAACGGATGCTTTTGCCAAAACATTGATATACCCCCAAGTCCCGTCCTACCTGTGTGGTCAATCAACCGGTGGGTCCCACGAAAGGCTGGCGACCCTGTCGAGGGTTATCCCGATGTAAGGTCTAACTTTTGCCTTGGACGCGTTTATACTGTGCCCCCCCCCCAGCCAGCAAGAGTGCTTTTACCTCCGCCTTCTACTTCATGAGATTGCTGGGCCAAAGAGTTTCACAGATATTCGCACTGTCAAAGGTATAGAATGCCACTCTTATAGAGTGTCATGCTTCCGTTTGGGATTGGTTGAAGACGACTCCCAATGGGATGCAGCCATGGCGGAGGCTGAAATACTCAGAACGCCATCAAACGCTTCGAACGCTATTCGCCATTTTGCTTTTGCGGTGCGAACTAAGCGATCCTCTGTCGCTCTGGCTAAAGTACAGAGAATCCATGTCAGAGGATGTGCTGTTCTCCGTTCAGCGTAACGGCCCAGGAGTTGAATGCGTTTTCACTGGCTTCATATTAAACAGAGCGCTGGTGGCCTTAGAAGATGTTCTTTTCGAACTGGGAGGTGCCTCTTTATCAACTTACGTTTTACCACGACCGCTGAAAGATGGTTTTGACACTGTAGCAACTGAGTTATTGCGGGAAACATCCTACTCCATCGAGGGGCTGAACGCATACATTACCGAAAACGAGCCCAAACTTCTACCTGATCAGAGGGTCGCTTTCACTACCATAACAGACAAGGCAAACAGCTCCAGTGGAGGTATGTACTTTTTAGATGCGCCCGGAGGAACTGGCAAAACTTTTGTTACCAAATTAGTCCTGGCAGAGGTACGGCGTCGTTGGGAGATCGCTATTGCGATGGCATCTTCCGGGATTGCTGCAACGTTGCTACTGGGAGGTAGAACCGCTCATTCGGCTTTTAGGTTGCCGCTTGATCTATGCCTGTCACAAACTCCTTTCTGCAACATAACAAAGAATTCACCACAGGCTGAAGTTCTGTGGAGATTCAAACTTATAGTTTGGGATGAGTGCACGATGGCACAAAAGGGCGCCCTTGAGGCACTTGAGCGAAGTCTCTAAGACATCCGCGACTCCTCCGATCCCATGGGTGGAGTAACCCTTCTTCTCGCAGGAGACTTTAGGTAGACTCTACCTGTTATTTCTAAAGGTACACGCGCTGACGCTGTCCACGCCTGCCTGAAGTCGTCTGTCCTTTGGCGCCACGTGGAGACTCTTAATCTGAGCACGAACATGCGTGCCTACTTGAATGGTGATTACAGATCCGCTGACTTCGCACGGGACCTTCTTGCTCTTGGGGAGGGGACAATGCCATCTGACACACACGATTTTGTGAAGATGGATCAGCTTGCCACCACTGTTGAATCACCGGATGTATTGATGAATGCATACAACCTATCATCTATTTTTGCCGATGCCGATTGGCTTGCTGGGAGGGCCATATTGGCACCGAAGAACTGTACAGTTGATTCCATCAACCTTAAACTGTTGGATTGCATTCCCGGGCAATGTCATGTTTATAGGTCCATCGACAGAACTTTCGACCCATCTGAATTATCTGAGTATCCCATAGAAGTTTTGAACTCCCTTCAGCCGTCCGGACTCCCACCTCATATTCTTCGGCTCAAAGTTGGTGCTCCGATTATGCTAATCAGGAATTTGCTCCCACCTAATCAGTGCAACGGGACTCGCCTCATTATTAAATCCCTTTCTCCAAACCTGATTGAGGCGACCATTGCAACTGGCTGCGGCAAGGAGGAAGTCGTTCTTATTCCCAGGATGCATCTTCTGTCGTCAGACGCAAGCATACCAATCAACTTTTGTCGCTCACATTTTCCCGTGTAGATTTGTTTTGCTATATCCATTAAAAAATCATAAGGACAGACGCTTAGCATCGCAGGTCTGCATTTACGTGAGCAGTGCTTCTCTCGCGGCCAACTTTACGTTGGGTGCTCACGAGTTGGGTCTAAGGACATGGTTTTCATTTACTCTCCCAACAACTGTGCTAGAAACATAACTTACACGGAGGTCTTGAAGACAACCGACCCGGTAGCGTTTAAGCGCCATGCACACATATGCATTCCGATTTCATGGCAAGTTTTTGTTTGTTATATTGGTTTTAACGTTAGGTCGTCGTAGTCTCCACTTGCCATTACTAAGACGTCTTTGTAAAGGTTATCCAGCTCTTTTGCTGCCTTCTGACTTTCAGACTATCACCCGCAAACATCACGTTTGTTTTCCCTTCAATCTCTATGTATGTTGCAACTGAATCGTGGTTTCTTGACTACTTACCACAAGTGCTTTCAGTAATGCTTAACGGTCCAATTGGTTAAAGCAGTAACTGCTGCCAGCTTTTACTCATAGATGTCTTAGTAATGGCAAATGACTGATGCTACAACGGCTTTCCGTTAGTTCCTTCGATACCTTCGAATACTTGGGCCTGAATGATGTCTGCTTAAACTTAACTTTGTTTCAACGTTTTGTAGAAACTTAGTTCCTTTCGACTTACAAAGCACATCTTTCAAAGCAACAACCGTCCCCAACTCTTACTGTTACATCCCCGGACATCGCCGGGATCTACTGCTAGTAAAGACTAAATTAAAACAATTCTGAATTATTTACCATTGTATTTCGTCATTTCACGGAATATATCAAGTCAAATGAAATCGTTACTTGACACAAAACGCTTAGCTTATAGGTGACTTGAAACTGGTTTTAGAAATTCATGGCTTCCTTACAACTTCTATTTGTCTCACCAGATTTATAACCAATTTTGCATATATGAATTACTCTGAGGACTTCAATGAATTCCCTTCAATCATATTTACGAGGACGTGACAAATACTCACAAGCCTGGCATATTTTGTTTTAAATAATATCACCCTAATCCTTTAGGATGCAAGGTGTTACCGACTGTTAGAGAGTATGAGGAAAACTACAATCAATGGGAAAAAAACAACAAAAATAAGTAAATAAATAAAAGAACAAGAATTAAGGAAACAGGTTTTAACGATTAACATTGCATTAAACTTTTGAACTTCAAAGTTGACAGGGAAGAAAGAAGTCGGAGAAAAATTCTACAATTGAGGATTGCGAAACTCTTCCATAAAATTTACATTTTCATTTAGCCAGAAATGTAAATTCATGACACCTCTCTTCCAAACTAGTATTGCACTTAAATTCATAACGTCGATGTACCATAGCAAAATATTCATCAGAACATTTACCCCGAATGTAATTAGAGAGAGATTACGTTGCGGTGTTTGGATAATGGAACAGAAGTCGGGATGACAGGTCAGGACGAATATTATTGCAGATTATTCTTTGGATTTAATCAATATTCTATAAATATATAGCAAGAGTCCCACACCAGATATAGCAGAAATATTCAAACAAATAGGAAAGATAGATTATAAATAAGGAAGACATTTTCTGGCGAGAAAACTCACTAGCACAACATAGTGAATAAACTTTCTTCGCTGCAGCCTTTCCAATTTGTTCAATATAATCCTTCCATTGAAAACATTAATTAGATAAGGGGCAATGAGTCACAATCCAGGGGATTAACATTAGCCATGTTGACAGAAATTAAAAAGGATTCTTGGAGCTGATTACAGGGACCAGTTTCGTTTTGGGGGGCGAAAATATCAACATGCCACTTCTTGCCGCACTTAACAACTGACTGTACGCCATATTTTTAGCTTAGCAGCCAATTTAACATACATAACCGCACCGTCTTGATACTAAAACAGCAGTAAATAGATGTATGATCAGCACAGAGTTGGGAATTGATGCCATTAGATTTTCATTTATGAAAATTAGAAAGAACGTAAGTTCAAGGATTTAGCCTTGGGAACACCTGCATTTATGATAAAGATCTATAAAATTCAAGCAATCTTTTCATTCGCGATGTGATAAGAAAAATTCAAAAATTTGCCCAGACATAACACAACGTTTCAACTTGTGAAGAACATCAGTATACCTAACCCTCTCAAATGACTTCATTATATCTAAAGCAGCAGCTCGGCATTCATTATTTATATTTAAAGCTTGATATATCCTATCAGCCATAATCTTTGACACATCAGCAGTTGATCAAGAGAAGCGAAAAGAAGACCATGTGATATGAGATGCTGAAACAATCCAGAGTTAATTAAAGCCTCTAGTAATTTACCAAAAAGAGGTCGTGGGTTAATAAGCCAATAGATAGATCAAATGATTCACCTGAATTCTTAAAGATTGTCACTATAGAATACGATTTGCAATAAAAAGCACATTTTCGAAGTAGCAATGCATTTATTATAGGATTAATGGTGAACAGCATAATGTTCAGGAGCACATTTATCAAGGACTTTTGCAGGGATAGGATTAAGTCCACAAGCTTGGTGAGGATGGATTTTAGTAGCAGAAACCGTGTACGGTGTTATATGCTTACCAATAACTAGAGACTCAATTCTAAGTGGAATAACTGGTATTTAATATGAGCCAAGGGTAGAATTTAAAGAGAATTCGCTAGCAAAAAAAAAAAAATGATTTCTTCATCAAATGTTAAAACTTCACAAAGTGTAAACAGAAAAGTGTTAGATGACTTACATTTATTTAACATGTCGAAATATTTTATCTGACAGTAAATATATAGCCAGACAATTGTAACGCCAAGTAGACACCATACTACATGCCTAAGTGTTAATTACGTGAGCGACAGATAGAGACACCTACAAATAATTATATATAACCAATAATACGAAGTACTATATCACATAAAATGCAAAAAAAATAAAAATGATAGAGTCAATAATTGTAAAAGTAACTAACCTTCAATAGAATACTAGCAATTCAAATAGCATTCTTATCACCCATCAACATGGTTGGTACTAAACTCAATGAAAGCCAACCCGTTTCATATTCTCTGGCTTATATTCACGACTGACATGTAGTGAAAATGTGACAGTATTTAGGGTTGCGAGAGGAAAAAAGCGAGAATTAAATTAGGTGATAAGAAGCTATCACGAAAAGACACTGGGCGATGTTATTTTTTCTAACAGAGAAAAGTGGTAAAGATTTTATTTTCATTAGCGAAGCAAGTAAGTACGTGGACCTGTCAGATTTGATTTGATTTATGTTACGACAGAGCGAATACACGATAGAAATCTGCCCATGGGAATAAGGAAAATTTCAGGTTGGTCAAGTAGCCTACGAAACAGAAACTGGGAGATAATGATAATCAGGTCAAGCGCTCTGACCGAGAAAAAATGTCCGCTGGACCACCCCCATATCATTGGTGAAAAACACCTGTTTTATGTCAAACCTGGACATGATAAAAATTTGTATCGGAAGAGATAATTGGCGACAGAATGCAAATACGTCCAGTTAAACCACCCACTTGACGCTGGCGAAAATCTCTATTGATAAAGTCCAGGTGACATTCGGTTAAGATTAGAGACCACACCGCGAGTCT